TCCTCTAATAATTATAGCTCTCAACCAAGAACTAGCAGTTTTTCGCCACCATAAACCTCTTAGTTAGCCTTTTTTAGATTGTCGTTGTTGCTTGTTGCAAGCTGAACAACATCATCCCCTCCTCTAGTACCTATAGTTCTAGGCCATATTCTCCTATAACAACCCTACTATTCCAGGTGATAATCTATCTAGTAGACCCTCTTTTAGTAATTGCTTCTCCTAATCGAGTTCTCCTTTAATAAACCTACCACAACCATTGTAATTTCTAGTGGTAATTTGTCCGGTAGCTTTTCCTCTAATAGTTATAACACTCGATTAGAGTCTATCCATTAGTCCACACGGTAGTAACCATTGTCTAGTTGCCCTTTTGTCATTGTAACAACCCTCTAAAATAGTAGCCCTTCTTTATTTTTCTAATGATAATGATAGACATCGGGCCCCTCTTTGGTAGCATGTGCTCTAACAACCATAAATAATAGCTCATTAGCCTTCATAAAAAAAAAAACAAATAAAGCCTCATACTTTTTCTCTCGACTAACTTTCCTTCTTTGATTAACAATACAAATTGTTTTTATCAAAGATTGAATAAAGTGGTCCTTAAAAATGAAGGAAGAATCGTGATTTGGAGTACTTAACCTTCCCTCTTTTTGATTGACAATATAGATTGTCTTCCTCAAAGAGTTGAAGAAAGGAAAATTTGTTTTTGGCATAAAAAACATCTTCGATACTCTTAGAGAGATTCTTCAATCACTTTGACTAACAAAGTAAGTTTCTAATATCATTTGCACCTCATTTACATTTAGATCGATATTATGAATGAATGCAATGTTGTGATGTATATATGCGATTTGAAGTGTGAACAAGATACACTATTATGCATTGAAGTTGAAAGAATCGAAGATCTCAAATGCTTTTAAGGTAAAATAAGGTTGGTGATCAATGCTTCGTAATGAAGTTGGAAGGACTAGACATGAATTTTAATTTTAATGGTTTATTCGAGGTAAGTGTTAGTCTCTATGTACACATTTGAGAATGACATTTTTATTATGATATGATTGATTAAATATTATGTTCATGTCATTTTTACTTATGTAGTTAGTAATTTAAAATGTGATATGTTAATATGATGTTATGGTGAAACAAATGGTGTTGACTCACTATGTCCTCCAAAATGACATATGATGTGATGTATATGTGTGGTGAAATAATAAGTTTTAGCCTCGGAGGTTGATATTGTGTTCCTCCTAATATGTGATGTGATGTGAATGTGAATGTGAATGTGTTGTGTGTGTGGTGAAATAATTGGTTTTGACCCTAATGGTCAACATCGTATCCTTCTAAATGTGATGTGAATGTGATGAGCTTGTGTGGTGAAATAATCGATGTTAACTCGAAGGTTGATATCGCATCTCCCTTTCCCACAAATATGATGTGTAAAAGTGATATGTGTGTGGTGAAATAATCCATGTTAGCATTAAAACTTGATGCTTTATCCTAACCAAATTTGATGTGTAAAGTGATATGTGAATGTGAAAGTGATCGGTGTTTTCCTCAAAATTAGATGCTATATTTTGATCGAGTATGTTATGTGTATGTGTGATAAATGAAATTGTGTGATGTTGGTCATGGCAATCATTGGTCTCCTAAATTGATGTGGGTTGAAACCATAGTATGTTTTTCATTTATATGGGTCAAAGTTGTGGTAGACTTTCCAAATTGATATGAATTGAAACCGTAGTAGGTTTTCTATTTATATGGGTCGAAGTCATAGTATACTTCCCAAATTGATGTGGGTTAAAACCATAATAAGTTTTATGTTTATATGGGTCGAAGTCATTGTAGACTTCCTAAATTGATGTGGGTTGAAATTGTATTAGGTTTCCCATTTTTATGGGTCAAAGTCATAGTAGACTTTCTAAATTAATGTGGGTTGAAACTATAGTAGGTTTTCTATTTATGTGGGTCGAAGTCGTAGTAGACCTTCTAAATTGATGTGGGTTGAAATTGTAGTAGGTTTTTCATTTATGTGGTCGAAGTCACGGTAGACTTCCTAAATTGATATGGGTTGAAACCGTAGTAGGTTTTATGTTAATGTGGGCTAAAGTTGTAGTAGACTTCCTAAATTAATGTGGGTTGAAATTGTAGTAGGTTTTTCATTTATGTTCGTTGAGGTCATAGTAGACTTCCTAAATTGATGTGGATTGTAACTATAGTAGGTTTTTCATTTATATTGGTTGAAGTCGTAGTAGACTTTTCAATTTTATATAGGTTGAAATTGTAGTAGGTTTCTCGTTTATTTGGGTTGAAGACGTAGTATACTTCTTAAATTAATATGGGTTGAAACCATAACAAGTTTTCTATTTATGTGGGTTAAAATCATGAGAGACTTTCTAAATTGATGTGGGTTGAAATTGTAGTAGGTTTTTCGTTTATATGGGTTGAAGTCATAGTAGACTTCGAAATTGATATGGCTTGAAAATGTTGTAGTTTTTATATATATATATATATATATATATATATATATATATATATATATGTTGAAGTCATGGGAGACTTTCCAAATTGATATGGGTTAAAGCTGTAGTAGGTTTACTTTTTATGTGGGTTGAAGTCGTAGTAGACTTCCTAAATTATTGTGGGTTGAAATCGTAGTAGGTTTCTCATTTATGTGGATTAAAGTCATGGGAGGCTTCCCAAATTGTGTGAAGTGGGTTGAAGTCGTAATAGACTTTCTAAATTTATATGGGTTGAAGTCTTCATGGGCTTTTGAATTATGAGTTAGGAGTCAAAGTCATTAGTTGCTTCTCATCTTGAACATTTCTCTTTCCTTTCTTTTAGGGTAGGGAAATATAGCCTTCGATCGGCCTAAATCCCAAACCACTCAATCAACCTACCTTAATAGAATAAGTATACTTGAATAGGCATAGATGAATATAGTAGAATAATAAGACTAGATTTTGACATTCCATATTCATACAATGTAGCTCGCCTTAGGTATGACGTAGTAGTAGTGATTTCGATCTTTTATCTTTGTAACCAACTCCTTACCTAGATTTTTGCGTAAACTAGTCTTGTATGAATTTTCTAATTCCTTAATAATAGATAGTGACTCTTTTCCTTAGTTTCTTATCCCTTTCTAGAGAGAGCCAATTTGCCGAACACGACACAAATCAACATCGTGCTCGCGACATAATGGATCAATGTATGTTTTCTCTTAACTTTATTTGATATGTGAAGATTATAAAGTTCTAAGATCTTGAGTAATAAAGCTAATTTACATAATTATAGAGATTTGATTTGCTTAAGTATAAACTATTATAATACCATTTATAAGTTAGTTTTGGGTTTGTGAATTTGATAAAGAAAATAAAGGTTCAACTATGGGTTCTTGAAATTTTGTTTGATTTATTTCCTAATGGTTTCTTGATGAATAGAAGGAATAAATCTTCCAATAAGTTTGTAAAATACACCAGTACTTCATCAAATCAAACTCCAAAGAGAACTACTAAAATTTGTACGAAAATCATGAAAGAAGAGAATGAATTTGAAAACGAGTCATATCGGCAAGTAAAAATAAAAAGTTGGTGATGGGGTTGCTCCACTAGAAAAATGGCAAGTGTTGTTGCCCCAAAGTTACAAAAGACACTATTTACTAATATAAGAAAACAAAGAAAAGAAAGGGATGGTTCTGGTTTTGATCAAAAGATAGGCTGGAGAGAGAGAGAAAAAGTGTTTTTATACGTAGGATTTTTTTTTCCTTTCCTTTTTTTTTTTTTTTTGTTTTGTTTTTTGTTTACATGACAAATTTATCTGATGTGTCATGCCACGTAAAAATTTTTTTTTCCACATATCATTTTTAATTTAAAAATTAGTTAGAAAATAGTCAATGGCCACATTAAGAAAATTTCAAAAGTAGAGGGATGTGATGAATTAAAAAAAAAAAATAGTGGTCACAATAAAAAAAATGTGAAGAGTAGAGGGACAATGCGATTAATCAATTTAGTCCTTGTATTTTAGATGATGCCATAAATTAGTTTTTTTTGTTTTTTTGAAAATCAGAGGTTGGTTCCTAACCAAATTTGGTTGCTAATTCGTTTGAAATTTCTAAATTACCATTTCTAAATGCATTTTTTTTTTAATAAGTGAGATTGAAAAATGAACAACATTTTAGAAAAAAAAAAATTATTAAATTGTCATTAAAATCCATCAAAAATACTAGGTTATAAACACATATGAAAGTAGACGTCAAATTATAATTTACTCTAAAGTGGACAATGGATAATTTAACAGTGCTTTTAAATGTTCAGTGAGGGGTGGCCTTTGAGCACCCGCTAGCAAAAAATTTAAATAGCTTAGATCATCGGTTGGTAAACCATTAAAGTCAGAAAAATCCGCCAATGAAGTTTCAACTATGAAATCCTCCAAAAGACAAAGGTAGGGTGATTCCAAAGTCTTTGCTGTCATATATCATAATCAAATTCCATCAATCTCCTTCCATCCAACACAAAACTTCAATTAAAACACACACAAAAAAAAAAAAAAAGACGATAAAATAATGATTGGTTATATGTTCAAGTTATAATGTTGTCCAAAAGATTCTCTTTCATACTATAAGATACCATTTTAGCGTGCACTAGCATTGGAGGGAGTTGTGGTTATTTCAACAAGAAACTACGCCTAAATATATCCGTGTGCCTTTTCTGTGGCAGATATTATATGTCCAAATATAGTTTTCTTTCTTTTGTGTTTTATGGAACAGGCAAGGTAATCTTTTATTTGAATTGTATATTATATTAACTTGATGCATTCAAATGAATAATAACCATAAGATTCGAACTCATAAATTTAAGTGGGAGAGCAAATGTTCTAACTGCCATACCTACCTCTTGGAATTATAGGTCATACAGGACAGTACAATCTCTTGTTCAAGCAAGTCAAATGGTGTATTGAAGAAGAGATTGCTATTACCGTATTAGCATTAGCTAGCTGTTGCTTGTTTGATGGCTTCTAGTCAGGTGCAGTGTCCACCGTTTGGATTCTCAGCCAAGTATTATTCATCGGCGGGTGGTGGGTGCGTGAGGCAGAGCAGTTTCTTTGAAGGCAAAACAGTGCTGAATCAAGGTGTTGGTTATTCTGTTATTCTTGGTTTTGGAGCCTTCTTTGCTGTCTTCACTTCTTTCCTGGTATACACACACCGTCCCTCCCCTTCTCCCCCTCAGATTGTCCTGGCTGTATATATTGAAGTTTGAAATTTCAACTGTGAAGTTATTTTGTGGGTTCAGGTATGGCTGGAGAAACGATATGTTGGGTCTCGTCACACTTCAGAATGGTTCAATACTGCAGGCCGGAACGTTAAAACAGGACTTATTGCCAGCGTGATTGTATCCCAGGTAACATTTGCGTCTTGCTTTATGATTTACCTATCTATCTATCTATATATATACTGAATATTCAGCTTGTTCATCATCTTTATTACCAATTTATACAGTGGACATGGGCTGCAACCATCCTGCAAAGCTCTAATGTTGCCTGGGAGTATGGAATTAGTGGGCCCTTTTGGTATGCTAGTGGGGCTACTATCCAGGCATGTTCTATTCTTCTTTTAGCTCTCCGATTTTCATAAAGAACATTCTGCATCTGAAATTTAACAGAGCTGGCTAATGAACAGGTACTGTTGTTTGGTGTAATGGCTATAGAACTTAAAAGAAAGGCTCCTCATGCTCATACTGTTTGTGAAATTGTAAAAGCTCGGTATGTTACAATAGTTATAACAGATGTTAACAAGCTCATTTATTTATTACCACTAAAATGCACTAATAATCTACGATTTTTATTTTTTTGCTTCAGTTGGGGAACTCCTGCACATGTAGTTTTCCTTGCATTTTGCTTTTGGACGAACATTATTGTCACGGCTATGCTGCTTCTTGGTGGCTCTGCTGTTGTAAATGCACTTACAGGAGTGAACATTTACGCTGCCAGCTTTCTGATACCACTTGGAGTAATTGTTTATACTCTTGCCGGAGGACTAAAGGCAACTTTCTTGGCAAGCTACATACATTCTGTTATAGGTATTTCCACTCATAATCTTGAAAGTTTCACTGGTCTGAACTTCTATTCATGAGGGTGATTAATCTAGCTTGGTTTCGTTGTTTTTACTACTTTGGATTTCAGTGCATGTGGTTCTAGTCATCTTTGTGTACCTAGTTTACACTGCAAGCAGAGAGCTTGGTAGTCCCAGTGTCATCTACCACCGTCTATTGGAGGTGGCTAGCAAATCAAGAGTATGTCAGGAGCCAATTTCCCATGATGGACAATCCTGTGGTCCTGCCAGTGGAAATTTCAGAGGGTCTTACCTAACAATGTTGAGTTCAGGTGGGCTTGTGTTTGGGATTATAAACATTGTTGGCAACTTTGGCACAGTTTTTGTTGACAATGTAAGAAGCTTCATGATTTAGAATAGCATCTTCTTCACATTGGTTTCCAGAACTTCCAAGGCTGTTTTCCCTAACCTTGACAGACGTTAAAATTTTTTCAGGGATATTGGGTTAGCGCGATAGCTGCAAGGCCTTCATCAACTCACAAGGGCTACTTGCTGGGAGGGCTGGTGTGGTTTGCTGTGCCATTCTCTCTGGCAACATCTCTGGGTCTGGGAGCACTTGCCCTTGATCTCCCAATAACAGAGAGTGAGGCAAGCCACGGACTAGTTCCTCCTGCTACTGCTATAGCTTTGATGGGGAAAGGAGGATCCATACTTCTTCTCACTATGCTTTTTATGTAAGCACATTTTATTCTTAGCTTAAAGTGTCTTGTGTTTTGTCCTTCTAGTCATACTTCACAGGGACAATCTAAACAGTTGTATAAATATAATGATCAGGGCTGTGACATCTGCTGGGTCATCTGAGCTGATTGCAGTTTCTTCACTATGCACTTACGATATATACCGTACCTATATAAATCCTGATGCTAGTGGGAAAGAAATCCTCAAAGTTTCAAGGGCTGTTGTCCTGGGCTTTGGATGTTTCATGGGATTGTTAGCAGTAATATTAAACAAAGCAGGAGTTTCATTGGGTTGGATGTATCTTGCCATGGGAGTTCTTATTGGTTCTGCTGTCCTTCCTATTGCCTTCATGCTTCTATGGAGGAAAGCAAATGCAATAGGTGCCATTCTTGGAACAATCATCGGATGTGCTCTTGGGATTATAACTTGGTTAGTAGTTACGAAGATCGAGTATGGTCAGATAAATCTCGACACAACCGGGCGAAATGCACCCATGCTTGCTGGCAACCTTGTGTCAATACTTACTGGTGGAGCAATTCATGCTGTCTGTAGTTTTTTATGGCCACAAAACTATGATTGGGATACGACCAAGCAGATCACAATGGTTGAAAAGGAAAAGAGTGAGTTGCCAGCTGAAGAGTTCAAGGAGGAGAAACTCACAAAAGCAAAAGCCTGGATAATTAAATGGGGTGTTGGTTTGACTGTGGTGATTGTTATATTATGGCCTCTCCTCACCCTTCCAGCAGGTAATTTCAACCACTTTGAAATTTTTGATGTCTCAACAAGCAAAGGTCAGAATCGCTTAGAAAGGAAGAAATTGCCTAATGTTCTGTTCACATCATGCAGGTGAATTCGGTTTAGGCTACTTCACATTCTGGGCAGTGATTGCTATAGCATGGGGTACCATTGGATCGGCAGTTATTATTGCTTTACCGTTGATGGAAAGCTGGGAGACCATCCAAAGTGTCTGCCTAGGCATGTTCACAAATGACAGGCTCATGGAAAAGGTGGAGGAGATGAATAACAGGCTACATACAATCATTTTGGCTATGCCTGAAGCAGAAAGAATTTACTTGCTCGAGAAAGAAAAGGCCAAGAAAAAGGAAGAATCTGAGCACCTAGCTTAACATGCTTCTAAGTCCTACCTCACATACAGATCCCTTTAGCTCCAGGCGAAAGCTTTGAACTGCAAATGCATGGGCAAAAACTGAAGGCAAAGTTTCTTACGTAAATAAAGGCTCTCTCTCTTTCTCTAGTGGCTTCTGCTAGCACCAATGTGATTTCTTCGTATAAAAAAAAATGCGATTTCTTTGTGAAAAATTCAAGCTTTTTCACCAATAACATGAAATTATGATTCAGAGATCCTGAATTGAAGTATTGTTGTCACACACACATCCCCTCCTTTTGGAGTTGCTGAAGTACCATGTAATATGTGAGGGTTCAAACCCAGTTGGGGTGGGTGGCGGTTAGGGTACTCGAGTCACTAGGCTACTTAATTTAGAAAAAAAGTACTTTTGTTACAGCATCACACTTAGCTTACAAACATAACCACACCTTCCAATCTGGGATGCCCATAATCCAAAGTGAGCAATAAAATAACTTGATTATATTTAAGAAATCTTGATTTGTGCTAGGAACCAAGTGCAGTATAAACAAACAGATTGGCTTTCTAGATCCATTTTGACCGGTCTTTCACAAAAGAGGTTTTGATGCATTATTTAGTTAAAACTGTACAATTCAAGTCTGCTGGCTGAATATCTCTGCATACATCTCTTATGCACGTAACTAAGAGATTCCTCCAACCTCACACCCATGGAAGACTCTGAGAGGTGATTGCTTTGAAATCTTCAGACATAGATCCAGATTTACTGTCCCTGTTCCCCAACGGATGTAACACTTATAAACCTCATTAATATTAAACCAATCGAATAGAGCCAAACCCTGACATTTATCGACCAGCATCCATTCACCTGAAAGAAAGGCAATGAATGATATTAAGATTTACAAAAATTATTAGGCTCAATATATGCACTATAAAAACGGTCTCAATAAACTATGGTACTTCGATGGACCCACATTTCTAGTAAAAATAAACAAAATGATCAGTGCCTGGACCAGTGCTGAGGCTATTGTAGTTACACTGACTAGATACTGTTTCATTGTGCATGCAATAACTGAAGTTTTAGCATAGCAATTATGGTGATTTTGTGAATATGAAGGATGACCGTGATTTCAGCAAACATCGAGGATTGTTACTTGATGTAATTTACCCTAGAGCTTTCCATCTCTATTGTTAAACCTTGGGATGAACAGCAGATACTTGAGTCAACTTCAGGACCTCAGTTTCGTAAGCAGTAGTCCTTTACCAACTTTGCTCGACCTCATAGTTTGTTGCCTTTCCTTGTGCATTTCAGTTCCATTTACATTCTACCTTTTCAGCTATAAAAATTATACAAATAATAATAATAATCCATATAAAACACCATAAAATAGGGTGACAAGAAACTTACCATTAGGCAAAAGATTCTCTTGATAGAACTGATACCCAGATTCAGGTCAAATTTTATCTTTTGATCTATCAATGGAGGTGAAGGAGACAAAAGTTTCAGTGGGGTGCAAGAGAGTCAACGTTGGGTGTAATCTCAAGCAAACCAGTCTACAACACAGAAATAACAACAATAGTTTAGTATTCGTAGCTTTATATACACGTTGGCACATGCTTGTGTGTAGTGATTAAAAGAAAAGGTTACAGGCTTACAGTCCTAGTACACATTACGCACACAGGAGAACCAAACAGGAAGTTAAGAAATAATGAATATTCAAATGAGTAAATATGAGGAAAATGGGTCCTTTGAAGGATTTCCCATGTGAAAGACTGCAATCTTGTTGAGAACCAATGAAGTAGAAAGATACTAGGAAAATGAATGTTTTCAAGATTATCTCGTGTGGCAAGATTGATTTTGTAGAGAAACAACAAAGTAACCTGCAATTTCAGAGAAAATTCCAGAATGTGATGCGGACAACAAAGGAAGCAAAACATGTGTTTTTGTGCAGACAAGGGTGTTTCTGTAATTTCTGAAAAATCTGAAAATTTGTCTAAATCTAGGTTTTATTATCTATTAAGTATTTTATTAATCCTAAGGAATAATTAGCTTTATTAGGTTTTCCTATTCTAAAATAGGAATAGTTATATTTTTTCCTATTCTAAATAGGAATAGTTATGTTAGGATCTTTTTCCTAGTAGTATTTGGACTTTTGCAACTCTATAAATACAATATGTAGTCTTTCAATATTTACGATGCAATAATATCAAATAATTTCCAGTCATTTGCTTTGAATTATGTCACTCAATCTCCCTTAACTGTAACTCTTAAGAATCCTAAGTGTGAAGCTTAGGCTTTTTTATCCTCTAGATGTGACTCCTAAAAACCTACCCACATATTTCCTCATATTTTAGCAGAAACTGACTTCAATACAACCATCAACACCCCTAAACAGCCTCCAAAGATCAGATCCAGAACAGCCCCTAAGCTGTCCAGCATCAGAATCTACTGGTACAAAACTGCAAAAGAGCTTGTGAATTGCAAGTTGTAATTTTCCAATGTTATCATCAATTTGTTGAGCACAACAAAATGATAGACACTATCACATAAATAAGTTATTGTGATTGAAAAACAGTTAAATGATATCTCCATGTGATGGATTGACAAATATGGGTTGGTGCAAAGGCAGCCTTAAGAGCATGGATCCTCGTAATGGTAGCTGAAGCCATTAACATCATCACAAATAAGGAATGTTTCTGGATCTAACCTTGAAAATCCACCGGAACCAACACCAATGCTGCATGCAATAATGCCAGAGTCAATTTGGAGAATCTTTGGGTTATCTTTTCGTATAGATATCTGCCATTGAAGAACCAACCCTCCACCAATATTGCCTTCTAAAATAAGAGATTCATCCTCTCCTGCATGCTCAAGATCCCACCTACAAGTAAAGATTACAAGCATAAACATGGGTATTGAGAAGATACACGAAAAAGCCAATGACTGCAGTTATTTCCATGTATAAGCAAACAGAACAAAAGCATTAAGGAAAGTAGGCATCCCCAAAGTGCATCAGTAAGGTCAAACAAACCATATTGAAAATAGGGAAACTTGATAAATTCAACCCCGACAAAAAGCACAAATTTTTTTTACTTTTTTGTTTGGGTTGTACAATGATTGATGGTCTGACAATAAAACAAATTCTTGAAGAAATCGAGAATTATTGTTTGATCTATCAGTTATATGAGCAAATAACACTCATGTTTTCTAACCTATCACATATCACTAGAATATTCAGTCACGTGGAAGTATTAGGCTTTGTATCAGAAAGGAATTGAATTGGAATCATTTCTGTTCCCAAAGAAATTACAATGAAATTAGTCATCAACAACTTACTTGATGACATCATATTCTTCAGAACATCCCGCATACTGGCACTTGATCCCACTATACTCTTCATATCCGTCAATCTCAACCCTGCTGTGAAGCCACTGTGTTCCTTCAATCATTTCCAATAAAAGGAGAAAGTGAGCTTTTGGATCATATTAGGAGGTCCTCCGCCAGAAGTTTTGCTGAGATTGTAACCATTACCTGAGGGAAGGAGGTCCATGGAAATAATTCTGGCCCTAATCAAGGGAACTACTTTAACAGTCACAGTCACCATTTTTCAATTCAATAGGGACCCTTGAAAGCTCCACTTTCTTGGGTCCAGAAACCTCTTCCACCACTGGAATGTGCTTAGCACATTCTGCATTTAAAAAGTTATCTATGAGGAGACAACTGATTTAAAAACTAGAAATTAGCATTTGGAAAGAGTTAAGTGATGTATTTGGAATCGTGGAATGACAGCTTAGCCACCTAAGATAAGTTAATAGATATATTAGATGTTCTTAAGATATTTCTATCATCCCCACATCTCAACCACCATAACGGAAAAAAATCCATGAAATCTAGCAATACCACATAGAGGCAGAGTTAGAAAACCAGAAGTAGCCTCCTCAACTACAATAAGCCATTAGTGTCTATCCTACTGAAAACCATTACACACACAGAAAGCCTAAACTTGGAGGGCATCATGGCCATCCAAATATGATTTACCAAAGGAAAACAATTAGACTTGGGAGAATGAATGACACATACTAAAAAGAAGATCTACAAGCAAAATTGCTAGAATAAAGGAGAATATTCTATTCTGGGCCACATATTGAAATGCGTATGCCCTGAGAGAAATAAATTTTTTCTTCATGAAAACCAAAATGGAGAGTAGACTAGAGAAGAAAAATAATGAGCTCTTATCAACAAGCATTATGAGCAGAAATGATTATAAAATAATATCTGCATCAGTCAACTACTGTTTAAAAATCTACAAAATGGTGGAAAATATAGGATATTGAAAGCCAAAAGAAGTAACAATACCTAAATGGGTTCTGTATTGTTTCTCGCTGGCAGACACCAGTCTGCAAACGTCAACTTCTGTGGGCATATTGATTTTCAGGACATCTCCATCCATGCCCCATGAGTCAAGCTGTTCACGGATAAAGAGACTGATAAATATTTTAAACACATGCTTCACCAATTGTAGATTACAGTAAATGCCAATTATGCTCTAATAATGTTCATTGAGAACAGAAGACATACTGTTGCACCTACACCGAGCAATAACTTCACATGCAGATGGTGTTTGGGTCTCTTCCATGATCCTTCCATTTTGGAACTCTGACAGTAACAACTGAAGATTGAAGTTCGGTGACATAGTGTGTCAACAGATATCCAACTCTGGTGAATTCATATCCATCACCTTCATCTTCAAATAGTACTCATTCAGCAAGCCCTGCAAATGCAGAAATGGAATGCACCCAGGTCAAACCAATTCATCAACACACACTCTCCCACCAAAACACATGCACACATGAATAAGAACCAGAAGGAACATTTTATCAACCAACTTTTTGCTTCACAAAACATTAGAGACAGGCCCTAAAAAATGTCTCTCACAAGTTCAAAGAAAAAACGACTGATTATGCTTGTACGGAGAGACCCCAACATGAATGTCAACTAGTATAACGTGGGTTGTGGGAACATTTGAGGGGAGTGATACTTTCCCCAAACTTATTCAATTCCTAACACTTATATATGAATTGCGTTAAAAAAAAAAAAAAAAACGTTCAAGTTCTGTACATAGGAGCTTCAGAGACAGAGGGCACTTTACATTTTACAACCACGTTTTCTAAAAGCTTCAACTATCAGAGCATAGTGCTTAACACTATATAAACTGTGTGGCTTGCCACAATATAATATGCAAGCTTGTGAATTAAATTAGGAATTTAAGAGCTCCAATAGATCAAACTTTCTATCACTAGGCCATATTAAACTTCACACCAATAACTTTACATCTCTAAGGAAACAATTCAACGTCTGCCCTTTATAAAATTTAACAGGTGTGAGAAATATCATTTTGATCTAAAGCTACAAGGAGCATCTAGTCATCTGACAAATTAGCTTCACCAACATGCTGATGAGAGGGGGGCAAAGGAATTATTGATCCTCCTTGCAAATATAATGTTGGTAAATCCTGTTACAGATAACAGCAAGTAAAATGATATAAGGAAATGAAGTAGAGCAAGATGAGAAGAATAGATACCGGATGTCAATCATCAACATCAAATCTCAACCAGATTCCCTTGGGCAGCAATGGATGCAATTTATCCATTCCCTGATCAGCAATGGTGCTAAATCAGATAAAAGAGAGTTAGTACAAATTGCATAGGCACACTGCAAGAAAATCCTATCTACAAAGAACAACACTCTCTACCATTTACCACCCAATTAACAACACAACCAAAAAGAAATATGACAAGTGAAGATGAAAACATTGTTACTGTTCCTCAATGCGTCCAGAGCTATCATTCTGCATGAGCATATTATGCTTTGTTACAAGAATGCTAGACATCAAGCAAAAATATATACAGTATTACATAAACCCCTACCAACACTGCCCCACAAAATGGTGCACAACAGCACAGGTGTCTCTCAAGCACATCTTGCAGGAAATAGAGGGGAACATTTTATCACCAAGACAGTCAATAAAGACATCGGCTAAATGATCTCCAAACCATAGATAATGCATACAAGTTACTCAATGAACCTTCCCACTGATAAAATAGCTGCCAATAACACTGTTGCCTCTTATGGCCTTATTAATCTATAATTAACAATTCAAATTAGAACCTACGACCCAGGTCACATGGTGTGAGAGGAAATCAAGTCTATCAGACACATTTAAGTTTGTAGGCATCTTTAAATAAAGAGAATGCGAACCTTGAATAGACAAGAAGAGGACCCAGCAGGAAGGAATTCTCAGTGGTCCTTAAGCCAGGATCTGTTGGATCTGCATGGGCAATTTACATGACAACTATCAGCGACCATAGTGAATGTAAGAACATTCTGAAGTTAAATGAAGCAAATTTATTCAACTGCACCAGGACATACCAGCAACGAAAGTTGCAGTTGCCACCAGGGTACTTGTTGTGTGAGCCAAATAAAACAGTGTCTATATTCAGTAGAAGTCGATACTCTTCAATGCTAGGCGGCAAACTTCTTCACACTAATGGAACTATAGTTAGCATGCAATAAATATTGCAGACAGATGAGAAATAGTAGCTTCATATGGAAAAATTATGAAGGTGACAATAAACTTATGTGAACATATGATGATCTTAAAAAGAGGTAATGTGATTCTGGAACGTAAGCTTTTAGCAGTTACAACAGATAATCAATTTTCTCGCTACTTGTTATACAGCCATGAGTCAATTGCTCCAGACTGTGCTATATCAAAATGAAACATCCACATTCATATTACAAGTAAGAAATAAGCGAGAAGTTGTTATCAAATTGCTAACATGTGGGACCAACCTCTTCCCAAGAGACCATGGCTCAAGATCACTTGGGCTCTTTTCAGAATGAAAGGAAACATAGCTCCCACACCCATCAACCATCCAAAAGGCTTGGGTGTTGCATTTCCAGCAATTCCACCAATATCAGCTCCAGAGAGTGGCTGACCACTGAGTCCCTATCCATAGTGAAAAACTGAAATTAGAGCAAATAATCATCTAGCAAGAAGAGAAAATAAAAAACTGTAGTTTCATTTCCTAATAGAAAGCAGTTTCCCTTTCTAACCGTAATTAGCAAAACCACGTACTAATCTTTCCAACATTTGGTGGGATGGTCAAATCCATGCGGTTACCATTTACACATGGCCTGAAAGAGAAGTTGTTAGGAAATGACTATTCGGCCTTGGCAAGAGAAGAAAATCAAAGCATAACTTGCAACAATGATGGTGTGAGGATCTGGGGAGACATATGAGACAGACAAAAACAAAGTCAATTTGCCTGCTTTTCAATGGGTAAACAACAGGCTCAAATCACTTACCAATTGAAGTACTATGGAGAGAGACATGAGTAAGTGCTCCCAGATTGACTAGGACTTCAAAAATTATTTGCTCCATAGTGATGAATGCAAGCAAAACCATAGAAGAGCAAATAATTCATAAATTAGACGCAATAGTTGTTCGGTCAGGTTGCTGGCAAGAATGCATAAAATTGAAGAAAATAATAGTATTATAGTACTGGCATCCCATTCTTAGATATCATTATCATGTTACCAGCAAAAAAACAAGAATATAGTTTTGGGGAATACATTGTGATAGTGTGAGTGATTCTGACAACCTCCAATTTCTTCGTCTCCTCGATGAAAATTGCTTTCAGGCATCGTCGTTGTGACAGTGTAAAAAGCTAAAAAAAAGAGACCAAGAAACGACAGCCAGAAAATTGAAGGTTTAAGAAAGAAGCACACAATCACTTTGAAAAACGTGGGCTCATTCATATCTTTCCATATGCCATCAACACCATTATGCGTAAAATCTTTAACTAACCTAGCCCATCAAGCGCGAACTTTTGATTGCATGAAATCAGGAAAAACACAGGGCCCAGGGGAAGCGGCAATAAAACCATAACTTGTCAAACGATATTGTATAAGAGCAAGAAAATTAAGGGTAAGTACTAATGCACCCTATTCTAAATTCATACCAACAAATGGTTCTCAATCTGTTTTCTTGATCCATAAATCATTTTGAGAACCGCTGTCATAGATCAAATAACCTTATTTCTTGATGTAGAAGACACTCATCTAGGTCCGCTTTGGCAACTAATCGAGCTACTTTGCACCACAACCATAATCTGAGATCAAAAGACTAAGTTATGGTGTGACGACTACCATAAGCACTAAGGAAGACCTATGGTCATGACCTCCGAAGTGAGCCATGATCGGTATGAGAATTAAAAAAATCGTGAGGCTCATCTTGAATTAAATAAGTCTCGAATATCTAAATTATAATTTTCAATCTTGAATCAAATCAATTATTATTTTAATTTCAAAAATGTTTGATGATACTATGATGGTGACGAGACACTATTTTCAAAAATAGAAAGTTTTTAAAGGTAAATTTAAAAAGTAAAAAAGTTAAATGATATAATACCCATTGAAAATTTCGGACTAGGGTTTTGTAATTTTGAACGACAAAATTTGAATTTCAAATTTTAATAATAATTTATTTATAATATCCATGTTAGTGGCTTTGTTAACCATGCATAATTGATTATTTACTTTTTTGATCGCTCAATTCAACCAATCTCATCCCATCTCTTTTTTCCTTTTGATGTATATTAGTAGTACGTATTATAGTCTGTTCATCCCTTCCCTCCTCTTTGTTTTTTTTTTTTTTCCCTTTGTTATCTCCGTCATTAGAACGTTCTTCTAATATCAATGTTATTGGAGCATTCTTCAAAAATGGCTAGAAATAAAGCGTATGTAGTATTTAGGGTAGAGCTCCTAGGGTTTATCTTTCATAGGAAGATTGTGAAGCACAAGTGATTGGTTTTCCCGGAGCTCCATATCGAGGTTTCAAAAATCATTTCAAAGCTAAGAAATCTTATGTGAGATTCTTTTATGGTGATCATCCACACGATTTGCGACTCATATATCGACACTTCAACAACAAGTTCATGAAACTCCGGAAACTTATGGAAATGTGGTATCCAATACCGAATTTAGGCCTTCGAAATAAATACATCTAAGGATAGAGGAAATCAATTTGCCATCATCATTGTGTCAATCCAACAATTATGGATGATTTTTTTTGTTTTTTGTTTTGTTTTGTAATTGGTGTGTACATGGGGTATTCATGGAGATGAGAATCTATTATTTTGTAGTTTTTGTTTTGATATAATGGAGATGTAGGGTTATGAATAATTTATGTTTTGTAATCGATAATGAAATGGAAGTAATGTTTACATATTTGTTGTGTCAATTTTTTCCTCGTATATTTAGATATTTAAAATCCAAGATCACAACAAATATTCATTAAGAAAAAAAATCCAAAGTACTTTTTTCGAACGTTAAAAAGTGTGTTGAAAAGTTGATATCCTTTGTTTTTTAAGTTACGGAAAATCAAAGTGGTGTTTTCAAAACGCTAATTAGTGTGCTTGAAAAGTCAAAATCCTTCATTTTCAAGTTAGAAAAGTCCAAAGTACTTTTTTTCGAATGCTAATAAGTGTGCTAAAAAGTTGGCATCCTTCGTTTTTCAAGTTACGGAAAACCAAAGTGGTGTTTTCAAAACGCTAGTTAGTGTACTTGAAATGTCAAATTCTTTCGTTTTCAAGTTAGAAAAGTCCAAATTACTATTTTCGGCATGCTAATAAGTGTGTGGAAAAGTTGGTATCCTTCATTTTTCAAGTTACGGAAAACCAAAGTGGTGTTTTTAGAATGCTAGTTAGTATGTTGAAAAGTCAAAATCCTTCATTTTCAAGTTAGAAAAGTCCAAAGTACTATTTTCGGTATGCTTAATAAGTGTCGTTGAAAAGTTGGTATCCTTCATTTTTCAAGTTATAGAAAACCAAAATGGTGTTTTCGAACGCTAGTTAGTATGCTTGAAAAGTCAAAATCCTTCGTTTTCAAGTTAGAAAAGTCCAAAGTACTTTTTTCAAAATGCTAATAAGTATTCTAAAAAGTTGTTATCCTTCGTTTTCAAGTTACGGAAAATAAAGTGGTGTTTTCGAACGCTAGTTAGTGTGTTGAAAAGTCAAAATCCTTCATTTTCAAGTTAGAAAAATCCAAAGTATTGTTTTCATATTGTTTTCGAATGCTAATAAGTGTACTAAAAAGTTGGTATCCTTCGTTTTTCAAGTTACGAGAAAACCAAAGTGGTGCTTTTAGAATGCTAGTTAGTGTCTTGAAAAGTCAAAATCCTTCGTTTTCAAGTTAGAAAAATCCAAAGTACTATTTTTAGAATGTTAAAAAGTGTGCTAAAAGGTTGGTATCCTTTGTTTTTTCAAGTTATAGAAAACCAAAGTGGTTTTTTTAGAACGCTAGTTAATGTGCTGAAAATTCAAAATCCTTCGTTTTCAAGTTAGAAAAGTCCAAAGTACTTTTTTTAGAATGCTAATAAGTGAGTTGAAAAGTTATTATCCTTTGTTTTCAAGTTACAAAAAACAAAGTGGTGTTTTCGGAATACTAGTTAGTGTGCTAAAAAGTCAAAATCCTTTGTTTTCAAATTAGAAAAATCCAAATTATTGTTTTCAAAATGCTAGCAAAGTGTGTTAAAAAATTTTTATCCTTCATTTCCAAGTTACGGAAAACAAAGTGATGTTTTCGGAATGTTAGTTAGTGTGTTGAAAAGTCAAAATCCTTCGCTTTCAAGTTAAAAAAAAAATCCAAAATACTATTTTTAGAATGCTAATAAGTGTTTAGACAACGAAATGAAATCCATTTAACCGATTATTAGCACAGAGGTCAAGTTTTTATCACTCGATATTCATTTAAATGATTGTTAGCACGAGTTGCATTATGAAATTATAAATAAACAAGCCAATTACGAAATTGTAACTAAACCGAGTATAAGTTAGGTAAATTCACAAAGTCATTATAAGTACGAAGGCAAATACAATAGGTATGAAAGTATCTAGACAATTAGAATGTAAGATCGTCATTTCTTTTTTTTTTCTTAGATAATATCAAGTGGTGGATAAGCTATTTTCTTTCTCTCTAAGTGTTCGATAAAGTTGATCCGATTCTTGCAGAGGTTTTTCACCAAATGGATTTGTTGTAACAAAGTCTCTAACATTGTCATAACTAGCCAAGTTGTTCGGATATTTATGAAGGTCACTCGTTCCTTCCTGTTTGAAACAATAGGTGTGAAATAGTTAATAATATAGTTTTAGACATTACGTACATATATATTGTGAAAACAATGTTGAGAATATTACCTAACAAGTTATCTCTATTGGTATGCTTGTAAGTGTCTAGAAATATAGCGCAATGAATCTATAAAAAAGAACATTGTATAATTTGAATAACAAGGATATGAATGCATTATATGGTGAATATAGAATATTTTCATGGAAAAGAGTTATAACATTATCGGATTGTGCATCGACTTGTATGGAAAATCATCCACCAACAATGTATTTGACTCATGTATGGCAACTGATTCCACACTTTGGTCAATTTCTTAAAAAAATAAGGTTTGTCCCCATCTTCAAGTTCACCGAGTCGCAATTTGATTGGTTTTACATCAAAGAAATCATACAAATAAAAATTATACAACGAGTAACATATTATGGATTTGTCAAACTCATTATGGATTTATATTTACCCACACAAAACGAACCGATCGATTTTACCCCTAAATAACCCATATAGTATGGACATTGTATTATTTCTATAAAAAAAACAACAATAAATTTGAATGATAAGAAGTTTCAGCACACTAAGTGACATTCCGAAATTATACAAAGTAGCAAAGAAGTAGAGTGATAAATTTTTTTAACACACCGAGTAGCATTCTAAAATCTAGGGGTGTACTTGTTTCACGATGTCCAAATACCAACTATAAATTTATCGAAGCAAAACTCCAAGAAATCATCAACATGGGCCCTCTTAAAGATCGAAAGGAAACACAAGAAAAAGAAACAAGCAAATAAAATTGATAAAGAGCTTAACAAACAATAAGGAATAATGTATAGGACAATATTTTGTTCACCTGGTTTATCTCTTAGTTTCATGTCTCCATTCCTTTTGGTTGAGGAATCCCAAGACTCAACAAAACTCTATTGAGATAAAGTATTAAAAGCTTTTCCGCATCCTTCGAGTGTCTTCATG